CAGGCTGGAGTGAAGTGGTGCTATCTCAGCTCACTTCAACCTCCATCTCCTGGTTCAAGTGATTCTCCCGCCTCAGCCTCCTGAGTAGCTGGGACTACAGGCACACCACATAGCTGACTATTTTTTTTGTATTTTTAGCAGAGATGGGTTTTACCATATTGGCCAGGCTGGTCTCTCACTCCTGACCCCATGATCTGCCCACTTCAGCCTCTCAAAGTTCTGGGATTACAGGCATGAGCCATGGCGCTTGGCCCGTGCCTGGCTAATTTTTTATAGAGATGAGGTCTCATTATGTTTCTAAGGCTGGTCTCTAACTCCTGGACTCAAGTAATCCTCCCACCTCAGCCTCCCAGCCTCCCATCGTGCTGAGATCATAGGCGTGAGCCACCATGCCTGGCCTATATGCAATTCTTCAATTGATATCCCAGCTTTGAAGTCTATTGCTGCACTCCCTCCTGTGTCAACTCTGGTAGCCCCAGAACTTCTCAGGGGTCTGTGACAAACCACCTGCCTCTCTCCAACCTTGTAGACAAGTCCTATAGCTGCCTATACTCTATTACAAACCTATCAGCAGTGTTATAGACATAATTTCTCTTTATTTTTATGTACTTTTTAAATTTTAACTTATCACTGATAAGAACAGTAATATTTTAAAATCTCATCCTCTAGTGTTCTCACTCTTAGGTTACCCCTCTTTGTACTTCTGAATCTATTTCAGTGATATCTTAAGAAACACAGGATGTGTTTGTTCTATCCACTTTTTGTTTTCTGGTGGTTTTTTTTGTTTCTGTTTTTGGGGATTTTTGAGACAGAGTCTCACTCTGTCACCCAGGCTGGAGTGCAATGGCACAATCTCGGCTCATTGCAACCTCTGCCTCCCAGGTTCAAGTGATTCTCCTGCCTCAGCCTCCAAAGTAACTGGGATTACAGGCATCCACCACCACGCCCAGCTAATTTTTATATTTTCAGTAGAGATGGGTTTTCACCATGTTGGCTAGGCTAATCTCAAACTCCTGGCCTAAGTGATCCACCTGCCTCAGCCTCCGAAAGTGCTGGGATTATAGGCATGAGTCACTGTGCCTGGCCAATTCACCTATTTTTAAACAGAAGCAAGAATCATAGTATAAAGGCAAAGGCTGTATCTATTTAATTCACCAAGAAATGCATAGTGCCTAGCAGTTTATAGTACTCCATAGAAATTCATAATTTGTGAAATAAAAGAATGCTTCAGTTGTCCAGAGTATTTTTCTCCTCTGATTTACCTTCTACAATGGCGAAGAGAATGTGATGATAGAATTGGGATATAGCACTAGTTTTGATGATGCAAATACATCCAGAAAAATTAAACAAAAATGATTGTATGTACCAGGGGAAAAAAAAGAACACTTCAGGTAGCCTAATTCCAAGAACCAATTAAACCGAAATAGAAACTAAGAGCTGTGGTTAGTAAGTAAATCTGGAGAAAGAACTGCAATGTGCCTATTAAATATACTCAGGAATAGTTTAGTTTAAAATCTTCTCAGTGACTTTATAATTTATTTCTCTATAAGTAGAACTTAGCATATACACCTATATACTTTTATAAAAGTTCATTTTAGTTTCTAACAATCCTTCCATATAAAATAAAGAAAAAAGAACTAATTTTTTTTAAAGAAGAAAAAAATTAATTTGATTAAAATTATTTTTGAAAACAAAACTCATGTAGTATACTAACTCCTCGCAAACTCTTTGGACTTTGCATTTGTTTACCCTCTTAAAAATTGAAGAACAAAAGCTGGGCACAGAGGCTCAGGCCTATAATTCCAGCACTTTGAGAGGCTGAGGGAGGAGGATTGTTTGAGTTCAGGAGTTCAAGACCAGCCTGGGCAACATACTGAGATCCTGTCTCTATAAAAATAATAATAATAAAATTAAAATAAAATAAATAAGAGTTGAGGAACATAAGAACTCTTGCTTATGTGGGTAATAGTTATCAATACTTTGTGTATGAAGAATAACAATTAATTTTTTTTTTTTTTTGAGACTGTCACCCAGGTTAGAGTGCAGTGGTGTGAACATGGCTCACTACAGCCTGAACTTCCTGGGCTCAAGTAATTCTCCTGCCTCAGCCTCCTGTGTACCTGGGACCATAGGTACCAGCGACCATGCCTGGCTAATTTGTTTGATTATTTTGAGGAGACAAAGTCTCACTTTGTTGTCTAGGCTGGTTGATAATTTTGTGGTTAATTATTAATTATTCAGAAATAACAAAGCCAAACATGGTAACTCATGCCTGTAATCTCAGCACATTGCGAGGCTGAGGTGGGAGAATCACTTGTGCCCAGGTGTCCCAGGCTGCAGTGAGCTATGATCATGCCACTGCACTCCAGCCTGAGTGACAGAGTAAAACCTCATCTCCTAAAAAAAATAATAATTCTAGCATGTTTATATGAAAATAATTGTGCTTTCCAAAACAAAAATAAAAATATGAGACGCATGTCATCGTTTTGCAGTTTGTAAATCTCTGTATTTATAGACTGCAGGTAGATTTCCCTGTCTGTTTCTGCAATCATTCTATTGCAATATGTCATTTTGGTTAAGTATGTATATATATATTTTAAATCTCACTGAGTGTGGGGGCTCATGCCTCTATTCCTAGCACTTTGGAAGGCCAAGGCAGGAAGACTGCTTGAGCTCAGGAGTTCAAGATCAGTCTGGGCAACACAGTGAGACCCCCATATCTACAAAAAAAAGAAAAAAATCTGGCATTACATAGTATATAGTTAAAAAAGGGAAGGGCATTTAAATAGCCTTTTCAGATAATTATGTGTATACTATTATATGATACTACCTCAAAACTCAACAAGTGGTATGTTTACTAAAAGTTAGTTATATTGTGGCATCTGAAACTATAGTAATGAAGTTTTTATGTTTAGTTACCTTAAAATCCATTGGTCTATCTGGCACTTTGAATGGATCTTTTTCCTTTTCTTTTTTCTTTATTTGAGACGGAGTTTCGCTCTTGTTACCCAGGCTGGAGTGCAATGGCGTGATCTCGGCTCACCACAACCTCCGCCTCCTGGGTTCAAGCAATTCTCCCGCCTCAGCCTCCCGAGTAGCTGGGATTACAGGCACACACCACCATGCCCAGCTAATTTTTTGTATTTTTAGTAGAGACGGGGTTTCATGTTGACAGGGTTTCATGATCGAGGTGGGTCTCGATCTCTTGACCTCATGATCCACCCGCCTCATCCTCCCAAAGTGCTGGGATTACAGGCTTGAGTCACCGTGCCCGGGGGATCTTTTTCTTAATTTGTAGCATCAGACATTTGTCATTGGAAAATATTGTTTCATTGAGTTATGCAGATCTTCCAAATCTTGGCAAATTCTATTATTTAAAAAATCCGTCCCAGCTAGTTGGGAGGCTGAGGCAGGAGGATCACTTGAGCCCAGGAAGGCCAAGGCTGCAGTGAGCCGTGATTACGCCACTGCACTCCAGCCAGGGCAGAAGACCAAGACCCTGACTCAAAAAAAAATCACTGAAGCTAGCTCAGTTTTCACTAAAGACTGGGAAATTGGACAATGTTATACATTCTCAACAGAAGATAAGCCAATGTAATCTTTCCTGAAGGCAATCTGGCAATAGGAATCCAAAAGTATCCCTTTTGGCCTAACAATTCCACTTTTTAGAAGTCTTAAAGTAACTAGACAAGCATGGAAAGATAATAAACAACAACAAAAAAATCCATGCTCATTTTTGGAGATGTTAAAAATATATATATGTATGATGTGGGCTATGACTGTTTTATCACAAAAAATAGAAACAATTTAAATATTGGTTAAATAAATAATAATATAACTTTTCAGTGGACTATACTGGAACCATGTAACAGAATGTTGTACATCTAGTTTGTGTCAATGGAGAAAGATGTTCATTTATATTATGAAGTTAAAAAAATACTACAGAATAGTATAGAAATAATAGCATCACTAAATACTGGAGTATAAAAAATTTGACAAAAGATTTTCATTTAGAATATTTCCAAAACATTTCTTATCGTTTATTTTTGTTTCAAGCTCTTAGGAAATTCACAGGAAACTTCAATGCTAACATTTTCTTTCTAAAATCATAGTAAAACATAAGACATCAATTGGCTTAAGTTTTGTGGGGTTTTTTTTTGTTTTTCAATTGTTTTTTTTTTTAGTTAAGAAAATCTTTTTGTACTTTTTTCTGTCCTGACCAAGGTTGTTTGCTTTGTTTTGTTTTTAAATATGCTTGTATTTATTTTACTGGAAATGAACCTAGTGGGAATAGCAAGTTGAGATTATTTATAGGCTGGTGAAGAGTTGGTCTCTGTTGATAGACATGAAACAGTGTTCTCGGGTTAGGCACCTTGACTCACACCTGTAATCCCAATGTTTTGAGATGCTGAGAAGGGAAGATGGTTTGAGCTCAAGAGTTCGAGACCAGCCTGGGCAGCATAATAAGACCTTGTCTCTACAAAAATTTTTCTAAAAACTTGGCCGGATGTGGTGGCAAGTGCCTGTAGTCCTAACTACCTGGGAAGCTGAGACGGTAAGATTGCTTGAGCCCAGGAGTTTGATGCTACAGTGAGCTGTAATACCACCACTATGCTACAGTCTGAGAAACTGTCCCCCCAAAAAAGAAAAAAGCCTCATACCTGTCATTCTAGCACTTTGGGAGGTCGAGGTGGGAAGATTACATGAGCCCAGGAGTTCGAAATCAGCCTGGGCAACAAAGTGAGAGTCCCATCTCTATTTAAAACTTAAAAATATATATATATATATTTTTTCTTCTAGTTGTCTACATGCTTTCTATACAGGTTACAATAATTCTGGCTAAAGTTTTACCAGGTTCATAACTGATACATAAAATATTCCTGGCCAGACACAGTGGCTCATGCCTATAATCCCAGCACTTTGGGAGGCCAAGATGGGCAAATCACCTGAGGTCAGAGATTCAAGACCAGCCTGGCCAACATGGTGAAACCTTGTCTCTGCTAAAAATACAAAAAATTAGCCACCATCAGGCAAAAGAGCCCCATGGCCTCTGAGAGCGCAATGCCCAGAAGGGCGCAGAAGAGTTGCTGCTTCAGAGAAGGGTTCCCAGTGTAACCAATGATTCCCAAACACAGTCCCAATCCCAATCCCAGCCCAGAGCCAACCACTCCAACTGTGGCAGCCCCAGCCCCAATGAACTTGGCTGCCGTGTTGATGTCCTTTGAAATGGCACTGGCTTGGAAGCTGTGGCTAGAGACAGGTGAGGTAAGGGGGCGTGAGACTGCCAAGCTGCTGAGGCTCTCATCTGTCAGTGTCTCTGGTGGTTTCAGCACCACTGCAGATAGCGGACGGCTCAGCAGCCATGAGGTGCTCTTGACCAAGAAGGGAGTGGAGACTAACTTGGAGAAGGCAAACATTTTCAGAGAGTGAGGGGCTATGGCAGGAGAACTGCTCCCAGTGCAGAGAAGATGGAGAGGGGTGGAGCAGCTGGAATCCATAGGCACTCTTTTATAAGGTCTCCTTTTATTCCCTTAACGATCTTGAAAAATAAGAATCCTACGTTTGGAAATGTTAAAGTGACTTGTTGAAGGTCACATTGTTTTTAGGAGTGGACCTCAGATTCTGATTCTTAAAACCATGATTTTGGGCTGGGGGCAGTGGTTCACACCTGTAATCCCAGCACTTTGGGAGGATGAGGCAGGCAGATCACAAGGTCAGGAGATTGAGACCATCCTGGCTAACACAGTGAAACGCTGTCTCTACTGAAAATACAAAAAATTAGCCGGGCATGGTGGTGGCATGCCTGTAGTCCCAGCTACTCAGGAGCCCAAGGCAGGAAAATCGCTTGAACCCGGGAGGCAGAGGTTGCAGTGAGTTGCGATCATACCACTGCACTCCAACCTGGGCAACAGAACAGGACTCTGTCTCAAAAAAAAAACAAAACAAAATGTGATTTTGAAACCACCTTTGCAAAGATTAGGACAGTGAGAAGAAACTAGCATGGCTAACTCCATCTTGCCTCTAACTCATAGGCTACTCATTCCTGCCCATAGGCCAAACTAACCATGGGAGGAGGTTAGCTTACAGTTTACCTTGGAAGCAAGGATGATAATAGTCCCTCTCTATAATGAACCCCCTCCTTGCTCAAGGACTGAAACCACCTTTGTAATACTAGTGAAAGGCCACAAGATTAGGATTATGAGCCTGCTGCCTAAACAGAGCCAATTTATCAAGACAGGGGAATTGCAATAGAGAAAGAGTAATTCATGCAGTGCTGGCTGTGTGGGAGACAGGAGGAGTTTTATTATTACTCAAATCAGTCTCCCTGAGCATTCTGGGATCAGAGTTTTTAAGGACACCTGGTGGGTGGGTGGAAACTAATGAGCCAGGAGTGCTGATTGGTTAGGTAGGAGATGAAGTTAGTTAGGTAGGGAATTGCTCTGAGTCAGTTTCTGGCCACAAGATCAGATGAGCCATTTTATCCATCTGGGTGGTGCCACTTGATACATCAAGTGTAAGGTCTGCAAAATACCTCAAGCACTGATCTTAGGAGCAGTTAAGAGAGGGTCAGAATCTTGTAGGCTCCAGCTGCATGATTCCTAAACCATAACTTCTAATCTTGTGGCTAATTTGTTAGTCCTACAAAGGCAGTCTAGTTCCCAGTCAAGAAGGAGGTTTGTTTTGGGAAAGGGCTGTTATTATCTTCGTTTTAAACTATAAACTAAGTTCCTCCCAAAGTTAGTTCAACCTAAGCGCAGGAATGAACAAGGACGGTTTGGAGGTTACAAGCAAGATGGAGTTGGTTAGGTCAGCTCCATTATAATTTCACAATGGCAGATTCAAAAGTATCCTGAATTCTGCTAAAATGTAGGCAGAATTCAGCCACTGTTTCAGAGGGCACGAGATTTTGTAGCTTCCCCAATCGCCTCTATGGATAGCATCACTATTGTAAAACCTAAGAGGCCAGGCGCAGTGGCTCACCCATGTAATCCCAGCACTTTGGGAGGTTGAGGTGGGCAGATCACCTGAGGTCAGGAGTTCGAGACCAGCCTGACCAACATGGAGAAACCCCATCTCTACTAAAACTACAAAAAAAAAATTAGCTAGGTGTGGTGGCACATGCCTATAATCTCAGCTACTTGGGAGGCTGAGGCAGGAGAATCGCTTGAACCCAGGAGGCAGAGGTTGCAGTGAGCCAAGATCGCTGCATTGCACTCCAGCCTGGGCAAAAAGAGTAAAATTCCACCTAAAAACAAACAGACAAACAAAAAAACCTAACACTGGTCAATTGAAATAGTATTCAGACATCTGCATATATATATTTTTTGAGACACAGTCTCTTTTCATAGCCCAGGCTGGAGTGCAGAGGTATGATTTCAGCTCACTACAATCCCTGCATCCCAGGTTCAAACTGTTCTCCTGCCTCAGCCCCCTGAGTAGCTGGGATTATTGGCATGCACTACCACACCCAGCTAACTTTCATATTTTTAGTAGAGACAGGGTTTCACCATGTTAGCCCCGCTGGTCTCAAACTATTGACCTCAAGTGATCTGCCTGCCTTGGCCTCCCAAAGTGCTGGGATTACAGGTGTGAACCACAGCCCCAGCCCGTAGAATACGTTTCTAACTGCACCCAGGTGCTGCTGCTACTGCTGACCATAGGCCACACTGTGGGCCCATGAGCAAGTTTTAAACTGCAGGAATCCAGGTAGTTACTGTGTTAGTGATTAAATTGGAAATGTGCAGCATTTCTGAGATTGCCAGCATAGCCAGTCGTGGTGGTGCACACCCGTAGTCCCAGCTACTCAGGAGGCTGAGGTGGGAGGAATACTTCAGCCCAGGAGTTCAATGCTGTGGTGAACTATGATCATGCCACTACACTCCAGGATGGGTGACAGACTGAGACCCTGTTTCAAATAAATAAATAAAATTGCCAAGAAAAAAACGATGTAACTGTGTAACTATGAACAACTTAGAGAATCCTGAGAACGGCTCATTGTGGTGGCACACGCCTGTATTCCTAGCACTTTGGAAGGCCGACGCTGGTGGATCACATGAAGTCAGGAGTTCAAGACCAGCCTGACTAACACAGTGAAACCCCATCTCTACTAAATAAAAAAAATTAGCCAGGCATGATGGTGCATGCCTATAATCCCAGCTACTCGGGAGGCTGAGGCAGGAGAATCACTTGAACCCAGGAGATGGAGGTTGCAGTGAGCCAGGATCACACATTGCATTCCAGCCTAAGCAACAGGAGCAAAACTCTGTCTCAAAAAAAAAAAAAAAAAAGACAGAGAGAGAGAATCCTGAGGACTTACTTCCTGTGTATAGTAGCCTTATGTGGGGTGATATTAATCCCACAGCAAGCCAATTTTTAGGGAAAAGTTCCAGTTAACTGAAAAAAATATCATTTCCCAGCCATGCTGGCTAAGTACATTCTTTTCCAAACCTGACAGCCTGCTTGATAAAGAACAAAAGGTTGAACAGCCTTCAGCATTTATTCAGGTGGCTCAGGATACCCTAAGCTCCAATTATAATTGCCTTCCTTCATTTTGGCCACTCTGGCAACATGGCAGATTAGATACAAGAAATAAACTTCCCATGCCCCCACTAAAAAAAAAAGAAAACTAAAATGCTGGATATATTACATAAAATATTTGTTTATTTATTTTATTTACTTTTTTTGAGATGGAGACTCACTGTCATCTAGGCTGTAGCACAGTGGCATGATCTCAACTCACTGCAAACTCTGCCTCCCGGCCTGGAGCAGTTCTCCTGCCTCAGCCTCCCAAGTAGCTGGGACTACAGGTGTGCACCACATGCCTGGCTAATTTTTGTATTTTTAGTAAAGACAGGTTTTCACCATATTGGCCAGGCTGGTCTCGACATTCTGACCTCAAGTGATCTGCCCACCCTCAGCCTCCCAAAGTGCTGGGATTATATGCATGAGCCACCTAGCCTGGCAAAACATTTGCTTAAATACAAGCCTGGGTTCCTGGTCCAGACTCAAACTACCTGTTGATCGGAAACAACTGTTCAGGAGTCTCGCATGTTTCTGCCCATCTGGTGAGCAGCAGCACTAACTGCCTTTGCTCCACACTATCTTTTTACCAATTTGTGTAGTAAGCAGGCTTGGAAGATAAAGATGGTATATACCTCCAGACCAGAGAGCAGATATGCTCATAGCATTGGAAGATAGGGATAATGGTTACCTCTGCTGGGGAGAAAAAGGCAGCAGACTTAATGCCCATTATAAAACATTCACGTTCCCTAAATTTGGGGATCCTTTCCTGTAATGCAACCCTCTGCATATGCAGATGTCACCTGCTCCACTTTGTATTTGGGACTTGGGGAACCAACACAAGCACTGACACTCTGACTACTGCTATTGCTTTGAGTAATAAACTGTCTTTTGTCTCTGACCAAAGAATAGCATGTTTTCCGCCAACATCCAAGCAACGTGGCAGGCTAACTCTGCCAAAGTAGAATCTCAGATTCTTCATAGTTCTTAATGTCTGTGTGGTCCCAAACACTTTATGATGAAAATTAAGTTGGTCTTAGGTTGGTAGTGCCCTAGACAGCCAGTATAAGGAAAAGAAAATCCTCTCTGGAAGAACACCCTTCAATCTAGACCTCAAACAATTCCAGTGAACCAAAACTTTTAGCCAAAAGTCAAAAAACAGCTGGGGCACAGTGGCTCATGCCTGTAATCACAGCACTTTGGAAGGCCAAGTCAGGTGGACCTGTGAGGTCAGGAGTTGAAGACTAGCCTGCCGACATGGTGAAACCCAGTCTTTACTAAAAAACTTAGCGAGGCCTAGTAGTGCAGGCCTATAATCCCAGCTACTCAGGAGGCTAAAGCAGGAGAATCGCTTGAACCCAGGAGGCGGAGGTTGCAGTGAGCTGAGATGGCACACTGCACTCCAGCCTGGGCAACAAGAGTGAAACTCCATCTCGAAAAAAAAAAAGCACACAAGGAAATAAAGTACTATGAATTAGAAGCAGTTTCAAAAACTTCAGATACGAGAATTTTAGACAGAATATAAAATAAATATGTTTAATACATTTATTTATTCATTTTGAGATAAGGTTTCTCTGTCACCCAGGCTGGAGTGCAGTAGCTCCATCTCAGCTCACTGTAGCTTCCACCTACCGGGCTCAGGTGGATCCTTCCACTTCAGCCTCCGGAGTATCGGACTACAGGAGCGCACCACCACACCTGGCTAATTTTTGTATTTTTTTTGTAGCGATGGGGGTCTCACTATGTGGCCCATACTGGTCTCAAACTTATGAGCTCAAGCAGTCTGCCTGCCTCGGCCTCCCAAAGTGCTGCGATTACAGGTGTGAGCCACCGCTCCTGGCCCCTGTTCCACTTTTAAGAACCTGTGTGATTATATAGGGCCTCCCCAGATAATCTAGAATAATCCCTCTAAATTCAGCTGATTAGCATTCTTAGTTCCATCTGCAATCTAAATCCTCCTTAGCTGTGTAACACAACATTTACAGGTTCTGAAGATTAGGACATTGATATATTTGAGGGTCCATTATTCTGCCT